AGATTTGATAAAACTTATTGTATGAATCAGAACATTATTATTATTTTTTTAGTAGAAGACGCATGCTTTAAGTTATGTTCTACAATTTTTTAGGATCAAGACAGATAGGTGACGTCTCCCATTCTCTATTATACACTGCGGAATAGCAGGCATGATGTTGGCAATTTATTCTTGGACGTTGGTCTTCAAATCTTGTAGAGTCCTTGGTACGTTAACATAAACGCGGAATTTCAACAACCTCATTGAAAAAATCACAAGGGCCAAATCGGGAGAGCGGACCGGCCACTACAAATCGCCCCTAATTGAGATGGGGCGCACTGGAAAATGTTCCCCCGAAACAGTCATAGCTGCTCTTGAAGTGTGTGCAGTTGCACCGTTTTGTTGGAATCAAATGTCCGCTAACTCCGACTCATCATCACAGCGACTTCATTATTCTCAGGAAACCAGGGACCAATAATTCCAGCTGGGGAAATTGCACACCACTCTGTGACTTTTGATAGCATTCTTGGTGATAAGTGTCACCACAATAGCGCATGTTTTGTTTGGTGTATCCACACAAATGAAAATGAGACTTATCACAAAAAAAAAACAATAGAGTCCGACTCACACGCGTTTGTTCGAGAATTGAAGCCACGTTCTGGAAGTTTCTGCACAATTGCCATCTGGTAAGGATGGAAATGAAGATCATAATGAAGAATTCTCCTCATAGAACGATCGGAAATTTCAGACACATGTTTGCGCGCGAAAGTTGTGTTGATCGCATTGAAGTTCTCACTGCCTCAATACTTTCTGGTGATCGAATGAGCCGAGAGACTCCAGTTCTTCGTCTTGTCGCACTTGCAGTTTGTCTGCTCGTAGTCACCCACGTAAAAATTGATTTCCGATCCGGGACCAGGAGCCAACGGGCCTAAATTAAAGCGATTCCGGAAGGCGCGATGTGTTACGATCAAAGAACATCCTCTCGAAAATTGGGCCTCAACGGCAAAAGCACGCTCCTTACTGTTCCAACGCGTACTGACGACTGAACTATGTGAGGATAAAACTATATAAGGTTTCCTCGGGTTTTTATCATTACTGTTCTAGAACTAACAGGAGTATGCTTAGAAGAACCCGACGTGTTGGATTACCATCCGACCGTTTTAGAACTGAAATTTCGTGTTCGAGTTATATTCTGGTTCAGTTTTAGGATGGTTCGAGAATCGTTCAAGCATTTCCTGCTTTACCGCCGGGACCATTTTTGAATTGATTTTTTCATTAAAATTATTTGTGTTTTGCCTTAAATGCTGTTTACTTTTTTGCGGTTTGAGGAGTGTTCTTTATTTATACGAAAAGTGGACAAATGGGTTCAAAGCAGATCATTTTTGATTCTGATTCGTCATCTTCATCATCGTCTGAACTTGAAGCAGTTACTCCCAACTCATTTTTGCCAGAGCTTCTCAAAGATATGAGCAAAAATAATAATTTATTTGAAGAAACTGTTCCTTCCTATACTGACAAACAGTTTGTTGAGCATTTTAGGTAAGATATTATTTATCCAGCAAATCAACTTCCTAAAGACGCAGAACCACGTGTAGCATTAAACAAAATAATAATTTTTGCTGCTGAAAATAGCTATAGTCCTGCCCCTCAAACGAGCGCCCCGCTACGACAATCGACAACATTTTAAACAAAGGAATTTATGCTGCCGCACCCTGTATGTAGTTTGATTGCATCACTGGTTCGGGTTGACTGTTGATTCACTATGATTCCTCCAATTATTGAACCTTAATTTAAGTATTACAATGAAATACGGCGATATCTTGTAAATTGAGCCTAAGCAAATTATCGAGAAAACACTCCACCATTAACTACCAGCTCTATGCTTTGAGAATAAACAGATTTGCGGCATTTTCTGATTAGTGAACATATTTATGTAGATCCGGAGAACGTTGCGCACCGTTTATTACTACATGCAAATGTGGCTCAATACATAGGTAAAACGGAATCGCTTTACAATCGTCGAATGAGGACGAAAAGAGAAACAAAACAAGTAGTCCAGTTCTTGATAGACAGCCGTATTACAGACATTGCAGGTGTTAGTGCATATACAATATGCTATATGCCGGCGCTGAGCTGGTGTGCGTATGACAACGGGCGACCTACTTCATTTATCAACTAGTGTAGTCCAGTCAAATTACGAACAAGCCCGCGTCTTCGTTTTTAAAGCTTTCGAACCGATAAGTTGAGTGTGACATCACATGGTCTTTTTTGAGCCTATTCAATTATTGACAAGAAGTACAATTGACTGATGTAGCATCTTAGGCCCGTATCGTCAGTCGTCCCTACAATTGTAGGGCGCGTTTATGGCCTCCTTGATTGTCATACGCCTTTCTCTCCTTCAAAAATTGGTAGATTACACTTGTCCCGTGTCAGCGTCAGCGCTCTCCTATTGTGAAGATATGTTTTCTTTTTAAATTGTAGGAAATTTCAGGCTGATAAAACATGATATAACTCAAAAGCAAGCACAATTTGATGCAAATAGATGTTTGTGACATAACCTGAAAATAGAGCGCTGACACGGAGTAGAAAACTATGACAATCAAGGAGGCCATAAAGGCGCCCTACAATTGTAGGGACGACTGACGATACGGGTCTAAAACTTATCCTGTGGGTTTCATGTTTATAATCCCCTATTAAAGAACCATATGGTTTCATTGGCCAGACGAACATGGCTTATTATAAATGGCTCTTTTCGAATATTGAATGAAAATACAGGCGCCCAGCGACTGCTATGAAAGAGTCCTTTATATTAGTTGTGAGTCTTTTAGGCTATATGCAATCTCTCGCCAAGCTCATTACTTACAGCTCCACAGTTTTAAGAGAAAAATTTTAGATCTATATTGCATACAATATTAGAAGCTTGACGATTACTTCTATTTTCATGGTACTTTTGGAGGGGTTTTTCACCACCGTTGGTAATAATCTTTTGGGTTGTCTAGAAAACCTCGTACCACACCGACAGTGGACAGTGTTTCTGTCGGTTTTATTTGGACTCCTTCGATCTGGGACCAGAAACGAAATGGTCGATTAGGTCCCTGATTACTTTCATAGTTCTTTTCATGATTTTTGGCGAATCACAACAAAGTACCGGTATCACTTTCCGTCTCTCGCAAACTTACATATGCAATCTGTCTTTGTTGGTGGACATCCGTTTGTATAAACTCAGACATACATTCTTTAATGCCATCTCGCCACCTCGAAAATTTTGTTGACGACGTTTGAGTATCCATCATTAGTGCTTGTCATTTTTAGTGTGACAACCTACTTGCCATGGGAGTGCGATTTGAGCTTACTTTCGGTTTATCTCCGTATAAAACGTAGCAATTCCTAAAAGTGTAACTAGTGGATAATATCGACAACTTTTGACAAATTTATTGGAGCATTTTCAGAAGGGTAATGCCAGGAACGGGCATTCTGAACATCGTTTTGAATAGTGAACAATTTCCCAGCACCGCACATGGTTCTGCCATTTATTTCGAATGATGTTAATGACGCCAAAAACTGTAAAGAGGCATTTACTAAGATGTATTACTGTTTCAAAACCTCTAAATTGCCCCACATTTTCTCCCCAGGCAGTGACAACACAGTTTTTTTTTCGAATGTAACTCGGAAGCATCATGTTCTCTTCAACTAAATTTCTGGGATTGATCTAGCACTATAATCTCCGAAACTGTGGATCGGATTTGTCGTGCAGAATGTCACTGGCCAGACAAAATCTTGGAACTAAAAAAAATTCTGGAGAGCACCAGTTATAACTGGGACGAAGAAAATAATTATTTATAAACCACGCAAAATATCTTATTGGGCCTTGGCCGTTTTTCGTCTTCCTCAGCTGACTTTATTACATGAAAACATCCAACGTAAGTACATAGCTCACTGGTGAAATGGTAAACAAGTTTTCATTTGTGAAGACACAATTTTCACCCACACACTTGGTGAAGACTCTAGATACATGTACGCGGAAGCAGTGGTGGAAGTTATGGTGACATATTACTAAATCACTACAGTTTCTACTTTCAATTTTCATGCATTTTTGGCGGCGCCCAGATTCACCTTGATTTTTAAGTGTTTTTAATGAACATTTGAATTGTTATTGGAGGTAGTAGGAGAACATGCGTGCACGTAAAATATGTAAAAAGTAAGTAAACAGAATCGTAAAAACCACTAATATAATTCATATATTTCTATAACGAGTAGTATTACGCTTTGAGATTTGTCACTGTATATGTAATATATACAAATAAAAAGATCTGTATTATTTATTGAATCATTAATAATTCAACACAAAGGTTATTGGGTCCAGAAAAAAATTGACTAGCTTTCCCACAGGGGAGGGCTAGGGGTCGCGTACCCCTATTCGGAATCCAGTTGACCATAACAATTTGCATAGGAACCATAGTTTTTATACCATAATGCCTTTTTAAAGGGATTTCCCCTTTGAAAAAATTTGTCACCCCCCGCTCTTCAACAAATTTTAGGGGCACCCATATAGGGGCATACACCTATTCTGCAAATGGTACCTGTCAACTAGTAATCACTAATGTATGTTTCTTGTACTTCTTGCATACGTATTTTGAATTAAGGGTTTTTTCCCTAGGTACATACATATAACGACTAAAGGGGGGGGGCGGCTTGGGGTGTGCATCGGTTGCATGTATACACAGCTATTATAATATATGGAGTAAAAGGTCATTGAATACTTCGGCTTCTTTAGTAACTGCTAAATATTTTTGGTGGCAACACGTCACAATATCTAAGCCGAGCGATCTACTTATCAGGAAGTACTTTAGTGTTTTGGAATAGCCACATCCAAGAGAAAGTTTTATTTATCAAAAAGCCGACTCAAAATAATGTTTGTTGTCGAAAAAGTCAAACATTCTCGGCTATAGTTCAAATAAATTACGCGATGATTCCTAAATTTGATGCGCTATGTCCTAAAAATCCTCATCGAGCTGTCTCACCTTCCGAGAAGCATCAATAGATTCATGCCAATATCCAGGTTGCGCAAATCTGAAATAACATTTGTGACCTACTTCAATCAAGGTACGATATGTGGATAACATCACCAAAACGTTAGCTTTAAAGCCAGAAGACATTTTTCCAGTGTTTGGAACCATTTCGAGGCAGACACTTTACCTCAATGCACTCCAGTGAGCTTTCAGCAAGTCCAGTATATCCAAGTGTAGCAGTACCACAACAGTGAGCACTGTATCTGTCACTCGCGCGTCACGGATAAATCTCGAAAGCACCGTTCGTGCTTCGGTGGTACTTCTTTCGCGCCGGTCGTCTACCAACCATCGACTGGCTGACTGTCTTCGGATCAGCAACGGTGGTCCGGTGTACCGTTGCAGTCAAGGATACCGTCCGTCGCCGCGACAAGTGGTACTCGTAGGTACTGCCGTCGCCGGTGAGCGGTGGGGTCGCTCCCGGAATTCCAAAGACGAAGATGCGTTGCTGCTGAAGATAGGTGTTGGTTGGTAGCCAGAGGCGAGACGCGACAAGGCTGGTAGTTGAGCCGGTTATTTTGGAGCTCGACAGGGCTCCACCTTGGAGCTATTGGTACCCATGGGTACTGGTAATCGAGAACGATTGGATCGCTTTCATAATTCTTAGACACGTAGATGCGCTGCACTGTTGTTTAAAATGTTATTATGGGAGTTTCATAGAGTTCCACCTTAAGGCTATTGGTACCCATGGGTATTGCTAGTCGATGGGTGATTAGGCGGCCTTCATAATTCTGAGAGATGAAAATGAGCTGCGCCGTTATTTGGGATAGATGCTGTTACGAGGGTTCCCTAGGGTGCCATCTGGAAGCTAGTGGTACTTATGTGCTCTGCCGTGAGCGGTTATATGACTCCCGTAATTGAAATTTAAATTCAAATTCAAATTCACAATACATTTAGACTGCTGCTGCTGCTGAAGATAGGTGTTGATTTGGTAGCCAGAGGCGAGGTCCGACAAGACTAGCAGGAGAGTTGGTACCCATGGGCACTGCTAATCCATGAGCGAATGGATTGCGCTCATAATTCTAAGAGTCGAAGATCCGCTGCGTCATTGCTTAAGATGAGGGTTGCTGTGCGAGTTCCATTGGGTTCCACCTTAAAGCTACTGGTACCCGTGGGCATTGCTAGCCGATGACCGATTAGGTCACTTTCGTAATTCTAAGAGGCGAAGATGAACTGTCCTTAGGGTTCCATCTGGCAGCTAGTGGTACCTATAGGTACTGCTGTGGGCAATTGTATTACTCCCATGGGTCCAAAGACAAAGATGCGCTGCTGCTGAAGATAGGTGTTGATTTGGTAGCCCTAGACGAGGCGCGACAAGGGTAGTAGGGAAACCAGTTATTTTTGGAGTTCCAAAGGGGTCCACCATGGAACTGTTGGTTCTCATTGGTGCTGCTAGTCGATGACCGATTGGGTTGCTTGCATAATTCTAAGAGACGAAAAGGAGCTGCGCCATTGTTTAAGATGAGTGTTGTGAGAATTCCATATGGTTCCATCTGGGGGCTAGTGGTATCTATGAGTACTTCCGTACTCCCAGAATTGTAAAGACAAAGATGGGCTTCCGCTGAAGATAGGTATTGGTTTGGTAGTCAGAGGCTGGGAGTTCCACGGGGTTCCACTTTGAAGCTGTGGTGCTGTGTACTAGTTGATGAGCGAATGGGTTGCCTTCATAATTCTAAGAGAGGGAGTTGCGCTGCGCCGTTGTCTAAGATGGGTGCTATTGTGGGAGGCCCATAGTGTTCTATCTGGGGGTGAGTGGTACCTATGGTTTTCTCACTTCCGTAGATTCATCACTGCTGAAGATAGGTAAAGGCTTGGTATCCAAAGGCAAGAAGCGACAAGGTGATAGGGCTACCGGTTGCTATTGGAGTGCCACAGGGCTTCGTCTTTGGGTAATGGTACCCATAACAATGTTGTCGTTGTTGTACAGCAGGGCTGCTCCTGGGATTCGTAGCGCGAAGATGCGCCGCTGATAAAGGTGGGCGCAGAGAAGACAAGAAAAGGTTGGTGAGAGAGCCTGGTACTATCAGAGTTGCACAGGGTGCCATCGTGGCTAGTGGTACTCATGAGTGCTGCCCGTCGATCAGAGTTATTCACAAGAAAACTGCTGTAGAAGTTCTGCGAAGTTCCATCAAGGAGCTAGTGGCACTCATGGGTACAGGCGGCATATCAGCGAGATGTATGGTCGCGTTTGGAACTCTAACAGCAAAGATGCTTTGCTGCTGGAGATAGATGCTGATCGAGTAGCCAGAGGCGAGTTGCAACAAGGTTAGCAGGGGAGTTTGTTATTATGGAGGTACAGTAGGGCTCCATCGTGTTGCAAATGGTACCCATCACAACTGACACCATATCAGAGAGATCGCTTCCAAAATTCCAAAAGCAAGGATGTGTGGCTGATTGAGTAGTCAGAGGCGATGTGCGACAAAGTTGGTAGGAATGAATGTTATAGTTCCGCAATTTTTTTCTTAGAGCCATTGTTGAAAAACGTTATGTAAGTTGTGGTTATACGGCTGAAAGTATTGATAACATTTCAATAATTTTGTTCATGTAATTTTATGCTGGTATTTGATACATAGTCAGTCCTACTTTCATTTAGTAGGATATAGGATATCTTTAAGGCTTATTAGTATTACAGCTATCACGCAAAAACTTCAGGTTGAAACGAAAGTCTCTTTATGTGTTGCTCATGTTTAATTTCTTCATCAGTTTTGGCACAAAATTCACTGGCCTTAATTTTAACAAACACAAAATAATACCAAGTTGCCTTTGGAAACAAAAGTTTGTTTACTTACTTTACTATCAGGTTGACATTAGTTTGTTTTAAATTTTTTGCTTTAGGATGTCGCATACATTCGAAATAAGAAAAAGTATCAAGTTTCCAGAATGAAAACATTTCACGTAGAATCATTTATCGAACAATAGTGGAGTGCGGGCAGGGAATACCATGTCTGAATCTCCCAAGAAGTGGAAGACCACGTGCATTTACTGCACAGATTTCAGAGAGATTGGTGAGAAGAGCAAAAAATCAGGTTGTAATGTTAACAAGGGTCTGGCTCGGCAATACAGATCTTCTAAGAGCACGATATCGTTGGAATTGAGTAGGAATGGTTTTAAATATCGAAAGAGACTCAAGTGTCCCAAATATCCTCAAGCACAACTACTTCGTATACCAAGATGCTGTCCTCAACTGAGGCGTGTGCATTATTTTAGATGACGAAAAGTACTTTGAGTAATTCTGAAATGAAGGGAAACCACGGAATTTATATGGACAGCGTAGATGAATGCCCTGACAATGTTAGATACAAACATAAAGCAAAACTTGCAGATAAAATCCTTGTCTAGTGCGCAATTTCTAACAGGGGGTATGCCAACCTTTTGCGGGAATAATGAGGGGTGAAACTTTGAATAGTCAGAGCTATATTGATAACTGCTTTTCCAAATCGTTTCAGTTCGTCCACGAGCATAATACTAATGACCATGTCATGTTTTGGCCAGACCTAGCATCATGCCATTACTCAAGAGATACCCAAAACTGGCTTCGACAACACAACATGACTTTTGTTCCCAAAAACGATAATCCTCCAAACTTGCGGCAGGTTCGCCCAATATAGGATTTTTGGGCTTTACTGTCTACGAAGGTTTATCATAGAGACTGGGAATTTGCGAAAAAACTGAGGGAAATTGATCTGAATTCCGTCCAGGGCCTCATGAGGGACATTGGAAGAAAGTTGCGTCTGGTAGAGCAGAATGGGCCACTCCACATATTCCGATAGTATAGTTAAGCATTATAGTATCATTTAAATTCCTTAATTAAAAAAAAATCCGATGAATATTTTGTGCCAAAACTTTTAGGACATATGTAAAGATGTCTAAGTTGTCGAAAAACATACAAAAAAATGTATGAGTGTAAGTAAGGCAACTATAACAATGAAAGTTTGGCTAATATCAGATATTAAAGATGAGTAGTGTCAGGCCTGAACCTCGAGCCAAACCGTAATAAAACAATCACCACACTTATGCTGCATTGCGAGTTTTCTTCATTAGTCTTAAGTCTGAAATGACTCATAGTAGATAACACTCACTTCAATAAAAATGCCTTTTCCAATTCTGATAATCGTATTACCTTCGACTGAGCTACAACTTTCATGTCCGATTAGCCAATAATTGACCCAATTATGATTTATTGCAATAAGAACAAACCGTTGAAGCGATTCAGTACGAAACGACGCCTACATATGAAAATTACCAGTTTACTTTCTGCACTCTAGACTCTGAATAAAACTTGCCTACTTTTTCTCATTACAATTACAAACATATGTATATATATATATGAAATATAAACTTATTTAAATATTCATTGCTTTGCTTGTTTGATTCTGCGAATGGGAATTGAATGTATACAGGACGATCCAAAAAATATTAGCAACGTTTCCATTGCAGAAAATACATTAGAAAATAAAGTCCCAAAATAACTAAGATACAGGTCTACTAACGTCCTGACCGAGAGCAGGGCATGAATATCCTTCGGATGACCTTGTGGTTAGAGGACATTAGGTTAGGTTTCTTGTGAGTGCATCAATAACGATCCTGCACTGCGATTCTTAGGTCTATTTTGGCTCACACCTATTTATATTTCCCAGATTAGCTCTGACCTCCTGAGGAAGTCAATCAACTTGTTTGGAGAAATGGCCTCAAGGTCTTCTGCTTGGAGTAGTCTCCAAGTATGTTGTACTTGATTCTGGCAATTGCAGGGCATCTGCACAATACATGCCTGATAGTTTCATCTCCCGTCATGCCCAGCCTGCTCATGTGGTGAAGCAATTTGCAATGACCAGTGTGCAGTCCTACTAGAGCTTTGAGGTTATTACTGCTCAGCCGTAGCACAGAGCCTGTTACCTTCTTTTTCAAGACCGGTATAGCTGCAGAGATTATTTGTTTAGCCGTATTGTATGCGATCCCAATCGCTTGCTCAGGCCATATGAAGGGTATGCTAGCCCCACCCTTTGCCAGAGTGTCAGCTGTCTCGTTTCCCTCTAGACCTGTCTGTCCGGGTATCTATATATCGAGAAGTAGGGGACATTACTCGTCTTGCT